AATCAAGGGTTCCCATAGCCCAATCGAGCAATGCCACCACAATGCCAGAACAACAACGACCGAGACCCCAGCTCCAAGGTAATAGCCCATTAGCTTTGCCAGGATGGCGTGATTTTGTAGTAACAGCAAGATGCTGAAGCATACCTGCAATCTGCTTGCCTCACTTCCATGTGCTGTGAAGTGTCATCATCACTCATACTTCACTAATACCATTTTAACTTCTCAGGTTTCTAGTAGCAACCAAACACCACCTGAATTTAAGGTGCAATAAGCTTGCTTGGTCATAGAAAGTGTGCAAAATGTTGTCCAATGAGGAGCGACCTTTGTTAATTTTTTTGAGGAAGTTGCTCATGTGAATGGGAAATAAAAGCCACTGTTGTACCAATAAACAAGAAATCTGACGGAAGAAGAGGGAAAATAGTGAGGGAAAGTGTGTTTCCTCACCTGTTGTTAGAAGGCTTTAGTGTAGCAGAAGCAATGATGCATGCAATCCGTAGAAAAGAAAGTCTACATCTGGCTCATAAGCTTCTTCTGCTCTTATCTCTGATTGGAGATAAGTGAATATTTAATCTTTTAAACAACCTGCACCAAATTTAGTTGAGTGTTGCAGGCAGGAATCTTATTGCACAAAGCTGAACAGTCAAGAAAACCATTGTAAGTCTGTGAGCTGTGCTTTTTTTAGCAGGAAAGAAGTTATAGTGAGGCTTACTCTTCACTTTCTATATATCTATTTTGAACATGACTATATTTGTGTTGTTCTTTGAAAAATGTTCAGAGGGAGAAGGATAACATATGACCCTCCCCACTTAGCTCAAATGCAGCCCTCATCATTAGATAATTAATGCCATGTATCATATGGAGAGCCTCTGTGATTTAAGTGTCTTTACTTCAGATATTTGCACCCAGCATGAGAAAAATGACGAGAGATGGGGAGGACCAAAACTTCCATGCTTTTTCTTACCTGCCTTCTTTGCAGGTTGTTGTAAGTAAATTTCAGAATGCCTGAGGAATATCAGAAAGATTGCTCAGTGTTGTTCAGAGATATAAATTACCTGAAAATTTTTGAATTGAAGTATCCTTGATCTCCCTCAAGTGCTTATAGGAAAAACATGCAATGTTATTTTTCTACAATTTAGTTAAAACTCACTGTGTAACATTTATTGTAGCAGTGAACAATAGTAAATATAATGTACAAGGCAGTGAAACAATTGCATGTCAACATTTCCTCAAGATTTTGATTCATGAACTGCTGTTTTTATAGCCATTAAACTGTGAAGACACAGAGTACAGCAAAACCAGTGAGAAACTTTGCAGAAGCAGAGAAGCATCGCAAGGCTGGCAAGGAGCTAGGAACACCACTGGTTTCTTGTCAGAAATCAGAATGACACACATGAGTTCATTGAAAAACTTCAGTAAAATGAAAAACTTTAGCAGCCTAACCTTAATAGGCAGTGCCTCATTTACAAGGAAAAAAAATCAGCCTGGGTCTTCAACTACACATCCATTCATGTAAATAGGGCCAGGACTCCCTGGTCAGACTGCTACCCCCTTGGTGAGCAGTAGACCAAAGGGATTTCAAAGATAAACTAATATCAGAAAAAGTAATTCTTTTTTGTTGTGTTGAAATTTGCTTCATTCAGAAACCTGAACTGATATTTCGCTGATCTGCCACAAACTTCCTGCTTGAGCACAGGAGACATCCAAAGACAAGTACTTGAGATCAGAAGAACAAGGTGTTCTTTCCAGATAGTGACTAAATGCTGCTTAATCAACTGGACTAGAATCAGAAAGAACTGGCCAGAAACCAATCGTGTATTTTCTGAGGCTTTTGCTGCTGCCTTCAGAAACAACCAGAATCTCTTCTTCCTGCAATCCTGTGTGCACCATAAAAACCTCCCCTGGGGAGAGACTCTGAAGTAGGGTTTTGACAACCAAACAGCCAGAGAGAGAAGGAAAGAAGGTCCCAATTGTACTGATTCTGCATACAAAAATTCACCACTGTAATGTTGCCAGTGTTTTGTGGTCATCTAAGTGCATTGCTTCCACCTGTCCATAGCACCAGGATCATGTGAAAAGCTGTGTTGCCATATATCTAAGGGTGTGACTACATACTGGGGAATATATGAATATATGGTTTGATCAGCTGTGGAGGCACAGTTTATAGAATCGTGTTTTCCTGATAGCTGTCCAGGCAACAATTAGCAGGCGTCTGCAGGGCAAAGGCAGAGAGCTCAGTCTGCATGGAGCCTCAAGAGCAGAAGCTGCCAACAAGGGACTATTGGGCAATCTCCATCTCTCTCTGTTTGCTTATTTAGTTCTTTGAAGTGTCCTAGCGAAACCCCGTTCCCAATGCTGAGATGAAACATCCATTTTCAGAGAGACTATGGATGCTCAATTGAGGTGAAGTGCTATCCCCATGAGCATCCCTGTGCATTGGATGAGACAATCATACTGGCAGAAAAAGCAGCGTCAACCCAATTAGAGCACATTTAAACCACCTTGTTGGCTGCACACACGCAAAAGATCATTCCCTGCTGTCAACCCAATTAGAGCACATTTAAACCATGTTTGCTGCACACACGCAAAAGATCATTCCCTGCTCAAAGACAATTCCTCAACTGGTTTCCTCACATTGAGCTTTACGTTGCATAGTTATTGGGTTTTAATTTCAATTAATCTGTGCCCGGCTCTGATGTACATTGCACAGGAAATGGCCAGTGTTGTCTTCTCCTAAATTTGGGGGTTTTTTTTGTTGAACATACTTGGAGTTATCAATAAGAATCACTGCTTTTGCTTTTCAGCAATATTAAACACGTTTTAAATGCTAGCAGTTATTGACAAAGAGCAAACAGATTTTGCCATCAAGGTGAGCTTTCTGTGTGTGTCCCTCTGCAAATTGTCACATATCCATATCCATTCATGAACCTGCTGTGTTTGAAAGTGATAACTACAGAATTAAAGCTAAAAACAAGCACATAATTTTATAGTCACTTGATTCAGAAATGCATCTAGCACAGTAAAAAAAAATCTGTACAGTTTTAAAAAAGAAAAGAAAACAAAAAACCCAGCAAAGCAGTATTGTGCCAACATCCTGGATAAATAGTTTCATATGTTTATAAGTTTAGATTCATACAGCAATATTGTGCCAACATCCTGGATGAATACAGTTTCATATGTTTATAAGTTTAGATTCATTTTTAGGTAGCTGATATGTTTTACTTATCCAGATGTTTGTATATTCATTCTTATCACATAACTTTTAAAAAGGAAATAGCAAAACGCTGTGGAGCTCCCCATCTCAAATTCTTAAAGAGAATTTTTTCTTTCTCTTATGCCTAGAAAGGGAAGTGCTTTATGTGTAGGGAATGAGCCTACCAATTTCACCATTTATGACTTGTAGGACAATAAGAAGAACATCTGCCATAGGCTCATATCTGTGGCTTGAAATCAGGAAATTGTCTGATTGAAAATTTCTTTATACTGCCAGGAGGTTTACATCCACACCACCACTGCTTTGTGAATGGCCACTGCTAAACTTTTAAGCAATTTTCAGTGTCTGTAGTTCCGGCATCACTTCACTCTGATGATGCTGTTTCCAACTCTCCACCCTCCAACATGTATGTATACACACAGATCATCCAATTACTTAGGAGAACACCCATCTGCCTGATGGAACAGGTTGCAAAATCATGTTCTATGGCAGACCTGGGCAAAGTGTGGCCCGAGGGCCACATAGGGCCATTGAGGCGCTCCTGTCGGGCCTGCCAGTCATCGCTCCAGTCCGGTGTTCAAGCGTTTGTTCAAGCCCAAGACAGACTGGATTTCTCTCACTGAACAAGTTGAACATCAAAACCATTTATAGCTTTTTGTCTAAAGTTGATCAGTTGCTTATCTTTTATTTTTAAGTAAAGTTGGTTCGGCCCCCGAATACAGTTCAGTTTTTTCATGTGGCCCCCTATAGAAATTAATTGCCCACCCCTGTTCTATGGTGAATGTGTTAGTTTGTACAGTGCCCCTTTGAAATCTAAATCAGGAATCTGGTGAAAAATGTGTCTCATTTGCAGCAAAGTTTCACTTTTCCTTGATGTTGTAACATTTACCAACTTGGACCAGGGTGAGGAAATGCTACACTAGTAACAGAAGGAATGAAGTCTTAATAGCTCTAGAAAAATGAAACTATATACAGTGGTGCCTCACATTACGATGTTAATTCGTTCCAGCAAAATCGCTGTAGAACGAAAACATCGTAAAGCGAAATTAAAAAGCCCATAGAAACGCATTAAAACCTGTTTCAAAAACCATTTTGAAACTGCCGATCAGCTGTGTGATTTCAAACCATTCTGAAACCGCGATCAGCTGTGCGAACGTTGTTTTGCGAGAATCGGTTCCCGAAGCAGGGAAACGATCATCGCAAAGCGAAATTCCCCAGTAGGAAACATCATTTTGCGATCGCTTTTGCGATCGCAAAAGTTCATCGTAATGCGATTTCGGCGTGCGAGGCACCACTGTACTTGATAAAGGATTAACCTCATGATGTGTCACTATACTTGATAAAGGATTAACCTCATGATGTGGGGAAATGTAGGTTGAAAATCATGGCAGAATCTGCAAGCCAACACGGGACACATTTGAGTTCTAATATTATAGTGCTGCCTGGATAGCTCAGGGTTTTTCTCTCTCTGGCTGTGGAGCAGAGGTTGGGAGTTTGCGGGTTTTCTCTCTCTGGTTGTGGAGCAGAGGTTGGGAGTTTGGTTCCCTATGATGCCTCCTGTTAGTAGAGCCAGGCTGTGTGACCTTAGTCGAGCTGTGCAGTCCCAGGGTGCCCCCCCCAGAAGAAGGGAATGGTAAACCACTTCTGAGTATTCTCAGTCTGGGAAACCCTGAAAAGGGTCACCATAAGTCAGAATTAACTTGGCAGCACATGATGATGATAGTGATGAAGTTGTATCATAGAAATAACCTGTTAATGGCTCAGTGGCCACCCTTCTTCTTTGTTCCAGGCAACCAGTGCAACATGACGGACATAATGCAAAGAATTTCCCTTTCCAAGGTGAGGCACAAGTTTCTGTTTTTGTGTCAGCACCTTTTTGTTTTCCTTGAATGGCATGAGAAAATTGGATAGCAGTCCTCCAGGATATACACATGATATGAAATGTGAAATATTGTTTAGATTTGTTTCAAACAAGGGATGGACAGATTGGATGAAGTCGTTTTCCAACCAGCAGGTAGCATGCAGGTGCCCTACATTCCCCCACGTCCACCCCAATGAATTTAGTTCAACCAAATCTCACAGCTTCAATGCACTATGTTCCATTTATACTACCCATATACTTTGTCACATACCATTTGATATGGAGGAGGGAATACAAGAGTATGTTCAAGGAACAGGCTTATATTCAGACAGCATCTAGTTTGGAAATAGACTAGTAATTTTGGATGGCATAGAAGTGGTAGGGTAGGCCATTTTAGGGATATTGACATTTGACACTCCTGATTTAAAAAGTAAGGCAAGATTGGCAGGTACTTTTATTCAATTAATTAAAACTATTTATACCCGATCTTTCTCCTTTAAAAGGACTGAAGGCATCTTACATCATTAAAAAACAGTATTTAAGGCTAGAAACAGTAAATATACAAATACTAAATAGTGTCAAACAAATACCACACTAAAAAACGGTAGTCAAAAGCAACAGCAAAACCACATTCAAAGCACTAAGGCACAACAATCTATTTAAAAAACCCACTCAGGAAGCCAGTCACTAAGAAAGAAAGCTTGCCTGAATGGTAAGGGCTCAATAGCTCAGCGAGTTAGGTATCTGGCTGCAGACTCGGAGGTTGGGAGTTTGATTCTCCACTGTGGGTCTTATGAGTACAGCCAGCCTGTGTGGCCTTGGGCAAATTGCAATTACAGTACAGTGGTGCCTCGCATAACGAGCGCCCTGTTTAACGACGAATCCGCATAGCGATGTGGATTTTGCAATTGCTGTTGCGATCGCATTGCGATGTTTAAATAGGGTAAACATCGCATTGCAATGATTGGTAAGCATTTTCTTACTGACCTTCGCATTGCAATGTGTTAGAACAGCTGATCGGCGGTTCCAAAGTGTCCGCCAGATCAACAGAATGGCCGCCCGCAGCGTTTTCGCACTGATTCCTCATTTACCGAGGCGGCGAAAATGGCGGCCCTATGGAGGTTTCCCGCTTAGTGGTGAGTTTATCCCCCATAGGAACGCATTAAACTCCATTTAATGCATTCCTATGGGGTTTTTATATCCGTATAGTGATGTTTCCGGATAGTGATGATTTATCCGGAACGGATTATCGTTGCTATGCGGGGCACCACTGTATATTCATTTTCAATGGGAATATAATTGGGCGTAGTGGGCTGGAGGTCTGGGGGAATAGATATGGGTCGGGGAAAGGTAAAAATCCAGAGAGTGAGAGAGTACTTTTACATCCACTTATACAATTATACTAAAAGATGAAGATAACAAACAAAAAAACAAATCAACAGGTTTTACAGGAATTGCTATAGTTACTAATCTCTCCATTCCCTAGTTGGACTTCAAAATTCATCTTTTATCTATGCTTTCCAATCCATATTTTGAGTCTAGCTATAAAATAGTTCCAAGTTTTTGAGTCCTTTTTCAGATGACCTTTCATTTAGTGCTTCTGTTAATACACTCATCTCTGCCACTTCCAGTATCTTTTCAGCCAGCTCTTCTAGGGACAGTATTTCTGCTTTCTTCCAATATTTCCCATATAGTATCCTAGCTGCAGTAATTACATGTATTATCAAATATCTGATTTCTTTATCTATAATCTCAGACATAAGATTGTTTCAATAAAAACAATTCTGATTTAAATGGTATCACACAAGTTAGAATTTTTGCAACATTTCATGTACTTGAGTAATGTTTTGCTTCCCTACATGTCGACCAAACATGATAGAAACTATCCTCCTGTATTTTACATTTCCTACAATTGTTGGAAACATTTTCATATATTTCAGAAAGTTTTTCTGGAGTGATATGCCATGTATAAAACATCTTTTATATATGTTCTTTGAAATTTACTGATTTTGTAAGTTTAATATTATTCTTCTAAATTTGTGTCCAATGTTCTAAATCAGCGGTCTCCAACCGTTTTGGGGCCATGGGCCGGCTGAGGGGATTGAGCTCCATGCGCAGGGTGTGTGTCACACTTGCACACATGTGCATGAGCGTGACACGTCCCCCGCATGAGCATGACATGCCCAGCACGAGTGCGACACGCCCCCCCCACATGAGAGTGACACACCACCATGCATGTGTGCAGGGGCAGACATCCATATCTGTGGCCCAGATCCGGCAAGCCCATGGACCGGCACTGGGCCGTGGACTGGGGATTGACAACCCCTGTTCTAAATCAATATTATGATCAATATCTTGTCCCCATTTTATCATAAAATCTTTCATCACTTCATCTTCCATTTCCATATTTAAGAGATATTAATACATTATTTTAATTATTTTATCACTTGTCCCTAGCAATAGTTTATAAAATATTGTTTGTTCTTCATAAAAGTCCATTGTTTCATCTTTTACATACCTCGAGGCTAATCGTAATCTCATCCAGCTATCTAAAAATATTTTCTGCTTGTCTAGCTCCTCTCTAGTCTTTAACACCCCATATTTTAAAAGCAAACTCTATACCTAAGACAT